ATAATTTCAATTAAAATCAGGTAATTTCAATTGATTTGGGGGTTTCCGTCCAAGGAGGGGTATATTTATTAAGTTTATTGAGGGCAAGGATAAAAATAACTTGTTTTTAATAGTAAGGGTAAAGTCAACCAATAAAACAAAATTGAGGGGGTAATTTTGACCCTTTTCTTTTTTAAAAAAAAAGTGTAGTAGTATAAATAGAGAGTAATTAAGAGGGAAAGAATAATGAATTTCGATTGGAAATCTTATGTCATACGCAAAGTGGTAAAGCAGTGATATAAAGCTGCAAGCAATTATAGGAGAAAAATAGAATATCCTCCTTAACAATTGCGTGATCATGTTAATTACTTTGCTTTTTGCTTGTCACAAGCATGCTAAACGTTATACCAAAGAAATGACCAATCAGAAATTATTTAAAGGTCATGTTTTTTTGTTATAACGTCATGTATGCGTTATCTTGAATTTATACTACTCAAATAGAGTATTTGAAAATGTAAATGAAAAACGTAAATTCATAAGACGTAAGTCGAAACATAAGCTCCGTATAACTAATCAAAGTTAGTAGCCGCGTTGTACGACCATGGACTCCCTATTGACTATACATGTCCTTTTGCCTCTTTTCTTGGAATCCAGCTATTTTCATTAATTTATGTACTTAGCCATCGTTAGGTCAATGTTCATTCTAATCAATACCCAGTTGAACTTACAATCAGACTGGCCATGGCTGGCCTACACATTTTTAATGATTGTTTATCAATGACCTTTTCGCCGCCGAACAAGCAAACACCCATTCCTTCTTCAACAGACCCACCAAACAAGTCTAGCTTTTGGTAAAACCAACAGGACAATGTACAAGAATTTTACTTTATTTTTACCTGTAAGATGAACAATTAAGTATCAACGTAAACAGGTTAAAATTGCATGGATAATGTAAATAGAAAAAAAAATCTTTGACACATCTATTTTGAATATGAATCGCGGGCGATGCCTGCAGTTTCTTCACTCAACTGTCAATATATCATACCTTAAAGTGATGTTATCTTTTCATCATCATAAACAGCTCTTCATTTTCAGGCTTCCAAGCAACTCTGCTTCAGAAGCAACTTCAGCTATAGATCCTCTTTTTCCGACCTGAAATCTCACATTTGCAAGTAAGAATGGAAATGTGAATTTGACGTATTAATTAGCCAGAGAATACAAGACAAGAGATCCCTATCCAGGAGCCTGAAATGAAGACACTGAAAGATTAAATAACCCTGAAAATGATGCAAAGACAGTGATGAAGAAGCTGTTTTCAAGATTTCCGATTACAAACATAATCTGGCAAGCATTGCAGTCACATGGTTAATTAAGTGTTCCAATGACAAACATAATGACATGTTTCCTGCTTATCAAAGTACATCATTCCGATCAATCTAGAAAACTTAGTTCCCAGAGTGATCTAAGATGTAAAATTCTTGTGCATACACAAATCCCCTAGTTCAGAATTGTAAGGACAGTCGTCCAGCTAAACACTGCAAAAAGGTTTAATAAATCATCAAACTTCAAAAACATACATCCGAAGTGGTCAAAGTTCAGCCTGTTCCAAAAGAATGAAAGAAACATGGAGCAATAAACACAATCTTAGACAGTAAGAGAGTTATGCAACAGCAAAATGTAAAGGTAGAGTCTTGGAAGCAACACATTAAAAAGAATAACAGATCTTATCATTTAAGCTCAACCAATTTGAACTGCATACAGACTATGTCGCTACATCTAGTAACGAATCAATGAATTTAATGTATAATTCAATGCTTAAATCTCTATCCTGCCAACTATTTCTAGACACCTGCAGGAATGGTAATACTTAATGGACATTTCGGCGAATTGTTTGAGGGACTCCCAGAAGGGACCTCAACTAATGGATCAATTACATGATCAGAACCACCATCAATGGCGGAGCTTATAACAGTTATACTTTTTTCTACTTTAAATATCTCTTCTTCATCAAAATAAGATGTCATTTCATCCTCGTAATCTTCCTCAGACCAGTAACCAAGGGAATCATCTTCAGAGGCACCGCTCCAATCTTCTGAATAATAGGCGAATTCATCATCACTTTCAGTAACCAATAGAATAGAATCAATTATATTGATATCCTCAACCTCCAGTGGTTGTTCAACTCCTTCATCCTCAACTAATCCGTCAACAAACGGATGATTCAACAGCATCTCAGCAGTCCATCTATACCTAGGGTTCCTAACGAAACAACCCTTCAAGAAATCTTTTGCATCCTTCGATAAGTTTCCAGGAATTTTAGGCAATTCTTTCCCTCCCCCGATCTTTCTAAGTACATCCTCAGCATCCATATCATCATCCCTATCCCACGGAGGTTTTCCAGTTAACATCTCAAGCACAATACACCCTAAAGCCCAAATATCAGCAGGACACTCTTGCACATTATCCGCAACAGCTTCAGGTGACAAATACATCGGAGTACCCCTCCAGTAAGGCTCCAACCTCCTCTTCTTGCTCTGATTTTCTCTCTTAGCTAACCCTAAATCACCAATCTTAACCTTAAATTCAGTACTTCCCTTACTAGAATTCGGCACAAGCAATACATTCTCAGGCTTCATATCGCAATGAACATAACCAATCGTATGAATACAAAGCAACCCTCTAAGCATAGATCTCGTATGATTCCTTACCTCAAATTCAGACAATCCTGATTTGTTGATCCTTTCAGCTAGGGTTCCACCAGAACCATACTCCAACAGCAAATTATAAACCATAGCACCATTCTGACCCGTAGTAGTTTCATCCCCGAAACATCGAATTATATACGGACAACCCTTAATATTGTTGAGAACCTCCTTTTCCTTCTGAATTGAACCCGAAACAGAAACCTCAGCAGATTTTACAGCCATAGCTGGTGGAAAGTAGCTGTAATTCAATTTGGGGTTCTTCAAAGTAGCTAAATAAACACACCCAAAACTTCCTTTACCTACCATTGCTCCTCTGTACCATGCAACCCCATCACCAAATTCATTCTTCATCATCTTTCCTTCACCTACTAAATTCACCTGAAAAATTAAACTTGCAAAAAAATGAGAATTTTGGAAGTAATTAAGATTAGGGCAATCTCAAAAGGAAGAAAATCCAACTTAAAGTTGGATTTTAGTGCATATTACACAATACACAAGCAAATGGGTAAAGAAAATTAGGGTTTACAGAGCAAGTTTGGGTTTCTTTGCAATTTGCTTTTTAGGTTAGTTTTTTTTTTTTTACATATATATATTTTTTTATATTATACTATATAATAAGAGCCGCGTTTTCTTTGAAAGAGAGGAACACAAGTTGGCAAAAATGATGCTAACTGGAATAACGGTCATGTGGTCTTTTTTTAACAACGTATGAGAAATAATAAATAAACTTAGGACATTTTTTATTTCCTTCTTAACAAATTGTAACATATTTTCAGTTTTTAACTGTTAGTAGTAACTAAATATGGTAGCAAATTTTGTTAACTTTGGAAAAATGAATGGTGAATATATAAATTTGACATATAAGAAATTATGTCAGTATATATATGTCACCATTATTTGTCACATGCACTACTTCAGGCAAAAACTAAAAATGGTTGTCACTTGTGAGGAACAGCATGTGGTTTCCTTTTTTTTGTCCTTTCTCCTTTTGTTTAATTTCGTTTCAATTTATTTATTTTTAAAAAATATTTTAAAGTGTAATTTTTTTTTCCGGTTGCTCTTTAGCTTGAATCATAAGATTAAAAAAAAAATTAATGTATTTTACATATCTTTAGTTTAAGATCATTTATACTTTAGAAATATACATTGTGATTATTTTCATCATTTACATTGTGACTAATTAACGTTTGGTAACTGTTATTTTTTCTTGCCTTTTCTATAAATTTCTCTTTCCACTTAAAAATGCATACATACAACTGTACTTGAGTGAGTTAAATACATGTGTCAGAGCATTGAGTTCCAAATGACTTTCAATCACACTTAAAAGTCCATTAATTTATTGATAGTGGAGTGGTAAATACTCATTCATCTTTACCTAGAAATCTTGGATTTGCGTCTCTTGAATGTGAAATCATCTTTGTTAGAAAATATTTTTCCCTTAATATGAGACTATTCGATATGAATTCGAATTCAATTAGATTCTAATATAGATATCAAGCATCGAATGAGAAACAGAAAAAAAAATCAATCAATTTTCGTTAGAATTAAAAATAATTTAGTATGATGGTGTGGTGTTAAATAACAGTGCACATGGAATTACTATATAGACTTTTCAAGTGCTAATAAACTATATATGTTGCCTAATTAGCAACAACACAATCATTTAGTATTTTTTCTAATTGTAGATTGAGATCAGGTCATGGCGATTAGCTGTTTAGGCCTCACTATATATCTCATTCTATTAATATTAAAGACGATTGAATCTAAATGCATATCTGAAATAAATAAGCGTGTTAATTTCTAACATCTGAATATATCAATATTTTTTTTTTAGATAACTAATATAAAATTCAATAAAATATTAATACTATCATCAATAAATAATAACAGTTAAATGATGATAATAATTATAAATAGTGACTAGTGATGATTATGACTTATTATTGTAGTTGATGGATAGCGATAATGCTTGTGATCTTAATAATAATATGCAATGAGCCGATGACTATAGTTGATAATAGAGTGCTAACAATATTTCTCCTCTCTCTTTTTTTTTTCCCTTCCCACTTAATAGGAGTATTGCTAAATTATTCATACTCGATGCTTCTTACACTACTTAGTGTACTTTTTTTATTCTACTAAATAATAAACAAATCATATCTTCTTCTTACATAATGCTACTTTTTTCCTATAAATTCAAAGTTTGTAATTATAATATTATCCTCATTTCATTTAATTAGTTCTTAACAAAATATGTCAGTTTTTTTTTTTTTTTTTTTAATTGTCACATAGGATATTATTGAGTGAAAAGAAAAAGAGGCCTGTACACGGTTCTTTCGGTTAAAGTTCTCTTCAGACTCGGCCCGTATGCTTAGGCCCAAATAACTCTCTTCATATCAGGTTTGGTTGCAGAATTAGGGAGATGAAGATGAAGATGAAGATGAAGATGAAGAAGAATGATCAAAATGGCGGAAATACGATATTGTCTGTATCACCATTGAAAGCTATTACTCTTCATCTGATATGCTTACTAGGGTTAGCTTTAGCTTTCTGGATACCTAGTCATATCTACTCGCTCGATCTCATCACGCATCCATCCCAAACTCTTCGCATGATTTCGGTATGAATCTCGCAATCCGAAAAATTTATAAGATAATCTGCTTTCGCTCTCTGTTATTTGTATTCTTATTTTGATTCGAATTTAGTTTCTCAGGTGTTTCTGGCTCCAGTACTAATTCTTCTTTACAGTCACCTTCGACACGATAGGACCCAATGCTCTGTAATCCTAAACCTTCGTTTTGTTTGAATTTATTTTTACAACTTACATATTTTGTTACTATAATTGATTCGTGTTTTTTTTGTGGCTTTCACAGTACGTCAAAGCTGTAGGACGAGGCTTGCTGGCGCTTCCTGCCGGTAAGTAGAGTCTGTTATTGGAACTATATTATTAATGTCATTTGTCTAAGATTCATATAGTATTGTTCATGAATTATTTTATATAATGTTTATAGGAGCCGTAGTAAATGCACTCGGAGCTACTATATTAGGAGCACCTGTTGGTTTCGAGTATGTAATCCTGTATATGTGTTTTTATTCCTTTATAATAATGATACTGAAACATGAAGCCACAGTTGAGGTTGGATGGAAAATAGAGCTGATCTATCATTGAACATAGATTATGACAATGTTATTGCATGATCATCAAAAGCGGATGTAGAGTGTGAGTTATAGGTTCATTTGAACCTAGTAGCTTTTGCTCGGACCATGTATATGTGTTGAGAATTCACTTAATAAGTGTAAATAATTGATTTCGAACCCAATAACAAATGAACTGTCGTAGAATTTCGAACTTGATCCCATAAATTTCAAATCCTAGATGCGCCTATGATGATCATCAGACATGTTAAATAGAGGTGTATGCAGGAGGGGGTCACCGGGTTCACGTGAACCCATGCTCCCCTCCTGAAATCATATATAGTAGTGTTATATTTTTAATTTTTTGTTAAATATAGATGTGTGAACCCACAATCGAAGTATCATATAATGGAATGATGATTGGGTGCACCTCTCAGTGACATTAGAAATTTGAATTTTATATTTATCTTGTACTATTTTTCTTTTTAAAATTAGGTAACACCTCTCTAAGTGCTTATTGGTAACATTTTTGGCGTTATAATTAATTAATCATTTCAATTTTGGACCTATAGATTTAAAATTTTAACTGTTGAAAACAATACGAAACTAAGTGTCAAACCAATTAGATTCACCTTTTAACAATAGTGCACTGTGCACCCATCATTCCAAAATCCTGGATACGCCTCTGATGTTAAAGGCTCTCTATGTTTCACAAAAATGCCTGAGATTAGTTTGAGTTTTTGTTTCAGATGACGTAGGAGTCATTTTATGCTGTCCTATCCAACCTCAACTGGGACTATGTTAATGCAACATATAATGGTTTTCTGTTACTTTCTCTTTATTATAGCTTCTCTAATGCAGTAGTTCTTATCCTAACTAATCTTTGATCCTGTATTATAACAGGTATTTCTCCAAGACCTTTAATTGGTCTCTTCTGATGTCACTACTCACTGTAAGTCTTAACAGCTAGGACTTGCTATTTACTGCATGAAAAGATTTCTTAGGCTTATAAGCTACCAAGAAGATTACAACAGTAAAGTTTATGGATTCATCTCATGCTTACAGAAAATATGATCGATGTATTTAAGAAAAGAAAAGTCAGTAGGGAAATCCTGGGAGTTATTGCATTCAGAAAGCTGATGAAATGATAAGATACTTGACCACTTAGGTCACATGTTTATGAGATGTAGCATTGGTATTTTGTCCTTGCTCATTTTTTCTTCAATGTTGGTTTAGCTTCTTCTTTCTTTTTTTTTTTTAAACAAAAAATCTTTTCTGGGGATACGTAAATTTATCAAATATTGGTTTGGCAGTTTGTACCAGCAGCTTGTGTTTTTGGCTCATCATGGACTGATTGGCACCGAATATTTGCTAGAACAAAGTAATTTTCATTTCCTCAATCCATGGGCATCTGATATTTATATCTAAGACCTATCCTAGAGCTTATTCAGTATGTTTGTTTTGCAGAGCAAGTGAGTCCACAGACTATATGATCAGTCTACCTGCTCATGGAGCTGTTATTGGAGCATGGTTTGGTGCTTGGCCAATGCCACTTGATTGGGAAAGCCCATGGCAGGTAAGTTAACTGATTGTCAAGGACTCGAGGTTCACAATATGAGAGATTGTAGTCCATTTCATGGTGCAGATTATTTGAATTTCAAATGCATTAATTGCATTCACTAAGCGTCAATCGTCCATGATATGATCTTTTGATAGTCTTGCAATAGAAAGGCATATAAAAGTTTCTCCGCATGACCTTGTTTATATTATATTCCCTTTTGACAAATTCTTCTCTGGATTGTTTTTAAGGTAAGTAGGGCCACCTCACACAATCTTGAGGAACCTTGTACATATCAAAGTAGGATACCAAGTGCTGCTAGGAGGCAAGGCAAACCTTGTCAGTTTTTTGCACTTCCTCGTAGATTGTTTCCACCTCATCAGTGGCCTGATTAGTATAGCTCGTCCTTATGGAAGACACACACATCTGCTGGAAACCTGTTTGTGTTGCTCTGGACACTTCGAAGTGAACCATATCTGTGAATGAGAGGTGGTGGGAATCTGCTAGATGATTTCTTCTTAAAGAAACTAAGCTAATAGTTCATTTACCATAATGAAGTATTATATCCTGCTATACTAGTACTAATGCAAAAGATAAAGCGATATAAAGGAGAGAAGAAAAAAGGTTGGTGCTTATGTGGCTCCTTTTTGTTGGGGGTAAGATCGGATTGCATTGCTATCTGTAAAATTCTTTGCTCAAGTAAGGGCACCACTTAAGTCTACTTTGTTAACAAGATCTCCATGTTCCACACTAAGAGTATAAGTAAAATAAAACAGCTCTTGTTATATCCTGATACAAAAAGCTAAAGTGCTATTTCGTGCATGTGTCTTCCATCATAATTTCCTTTATGTTTTTCCTCGCCGAATCTTACATCCTTTATGTGTCAGATGAATAGAAACAGTAGCCGTTAAGGTGAAAAATGAAAGAGGGAGAGGCAGTTTTATACCAGAAGTGTTTCATACATTTGTTTATATGAAGTTGCATCTTAGTTCTTGTGAGTCTTGGTGATTTTCTATAACTCCCTCTGTCTAAAAAAGAATGGTCTAGTTTGACTTTACAGGGAGTTAAAGAAAATAAAGAAGTTTTTTCAATTTTGCGATCTTAAATTAAAGTTATGTCAAATATACCAAAATGTCCTTTAATCTTGTGACCTTAAACATGCCATGTGAAAAACTGAAATTATAGTGTTGCCAAAAAAGGAAATGGGTCATTCTTTTTGAAACAAACTAAAAAGGAAAGGAGGTCATTCTTTTTCAAACGGAGGGAGTATTATCTTAGATGTACCTGTTGATAGCTGGTGCTAGGGGTGTGCACTATTCGGATTAAACCGAATAACCAAATCAAATCAAACCGAATTTTTATTTGGATTGATTTTGGATTATTAAATTACTTTGTTTGGTTTTCTTGTTTGGTTTCAGATTTAAAAAAATAAAAACCGAAAAAACCAAATTATATATATATATATATATACACTTGTGATTTATATTATAAAGTATATTTAAGAGATTCAATATTATTACTTTGGTTATGTTATTAATTATTGACATAACCGAATAACCAAACTGGAAAAAGCGGAACTAAATAGAGGAAAACCAAATCAAATTTATTTTGGATTGGATTGGGTTACACTTTTACAAAATCAAAAACCGAAAAATTCAAACCAAAAAACTGAACGCACACCCCTACCAGTTAAAAGGCTACAATTATTAGCAACTCCATTGATGCTTGATTGGTAATTTCTTCATATGCATTTTCATTTCCTAGGTTTTAGAAGTGGAGTGTAAGAACCTTTCATATTTTGGTTATGCTCTTGAGGGAAAGATCACGTTTTTCTAATTTGCAGACCTCGGCAGGAGGTTGGAAAATGCTTTAGTAAGTGGTTTGTTCTCATTCACGGACAATTGGTATTTGCATGTAGGAATGGCCTATTTGTGTGACTTATGGAGCTATAGCTGGTTACCTCGTGGGGCTTGTGACATCCTTGGGCTGCATTATCTTCTGTAACCGCCAGCAGCATCTAAAAGAAGAGTAGTGTCTGGCTTCTGAGAATTAGCCGTGGAAAGCTCATGATACTACAAAATTAGGTCTTTGTTATTCAGCTGCATAGAAATGTGATATCCAGTTTTGAACTCTACTTAAATTCACTAATCTTTCTTCTTTTTAAAGAGTATAATCCATTCTTTTTGGAGTAATTTCTTTTGGCTAATTGTGAAAAGACGTTCAATAGGAGATAATGAAGTTTCTACAGAAGAATAATTTTGCAATATCTCAAAAAAATTCTGTCCGTTAAGTTAAATATTATGGATTTGTATTTGTATTTATGCTTTGTGAATATTCCCTTTTTCCTTTTGCAACATAGCTTTTACTATTTCCATGCTTATTATTTGTCGTGTTGTTGATTTATTGCCATCTCTACGTGGATTTTCAGAATTGGGACCTAATTTTTGTGGGGTCTTCGAATTATTCGTACCCTTTTTCCGTGTGTTGAGGAGAAGCATGTCTCTCACTGGTGGACAGAAGAGTTTTGTACATCCACTTGATAGTTTAGTATCAAATTCAGGAGTTGTTTAGATTCCAATTTCTCTCTTTATTTTCCTTTTGAAATGAATTCCACCTTTAGGGTGTGTTTGGTATGTTTTCTCATGTTTGGTTCGGTAAAATGTTTTCCAAATCAACTTGTTTTCCTCAAATTCAAGGAAAATAACTTCCCTTCAAAAAGTAAGGAAAACAAAATTTTCCTCCAATTTCAATACAATTGTTTTGTTGAAAAAATAAATTTAAAGCTTTTTTTAAAATATATTTTTTAACTTCACGTTTTTTATTTTTTTACCCCACCTTTACCCCGATTCCCCCCCTCCCGAAAAAAAATTTAAAGTTTATTTTTAAAAATTATTTCCAATTTCAAAATTTTATTTTCACCCTACCCCACCCGCCCCCCCCCCACCACCCCCCCCAAAAAA